GATTCAAAATTCCTCTCAACCTTGATAATAACTCAATTTGCAACATAAAAAACAAAGTGGGGATGCTCAATATTCATGATACAAAAATAATCATTTGGGACGAAACATCGATGGCAAAGAGGTAAGCGGTGGAGGCGCTCAATTGAACAACGCAAGACATCATAAGGGTGGCACTCCCATTCGGTGGAAAGATAATGGTTTTGGGGGCGATTTTAGACAAGTATTACCGGTCCTGAGGCATGGAACCCGAGCACAGATTGTAGATTCTAGCTTACGGATGTCGCCTCTTTGGTAAACGATTAAAAATATATGGTTAACGCTTAATATGAGAGCACACACTGATCCGTGGTTTTCATAATTTTTATTAAGAGTCAGTGATGGAGATGAAGAAGCGGTGGACGAAACCTTTATTCGTATACTGGCTAACATGACCATTCCCTCTACTGATAAAGGTAAGTCAAAAGATGTGTTGATTGATACAATCTTTCTCTCTCTTCAAATCAACGGAGCTAATTCAGATTTTATCATTTTGAGGCGATATTATCAACTAAAAATGAGAATGTCGACGAGATTAATGATCAGTTGATCGACAAGTTTTATAGAGATGAAAAAATATACTACAACTTCGACGAAGTAGAAGATAATAAGAATAACATCTATCCGATGGAGTTTCTAAACTCTTTAATTGTTAGTGATTTTCCTCCTCATTACCTTCGTCTCAAGATTAGATGCCAATAATATTGTTACGAAATATCGATCCCTCAAATGGATTATGTAATGGTAGTAGATTGATATGCAGAGACTTTCAATAGAACGTTATCGATGCAGAAATAGCTATTGATCAGCATGCTAGAAAGAGAGTATTCGTGCCGAGAATTCCCTTATGTCCATCCGAAGACAATTTCCTATTTAAGCTTAGGAGAAAACAGTTTCCAGTTCAGATTAACTTTTCTATGACAATCAATAAAGCTCAAGGCTAAACAATTCCGAAAGTAGGTGTTCATCTACCGCAATCAGTATTCTCACACGGATAATTTTAAGTGGCGTTGTCGAGAGGGATATCACGGGGCAATACGAAGGTGTTAGTGAAGCTTGTGAAAAAATTCAATCGTGCCGGGGTCTACACCTCAAACGTCGTCTATCAAGAAGTTTTACGTAATGAATAAGGTATAATCAACAATTATATCATTACACATTTGGTTCCATATGTTTCTATTAAAATCATTGCGTCGTTTGTTGCAGTAAACATTTACTATACGGATGAGTGCATCACGAAAAACTAAACAACAATTAGAATATACATATGAACATTATTTACAAATGATTGTACTTCTCTGTTCATACACGAGTTTCAAGTTTGGTAATGAGTTCTGAGTATATGGGTTCAGAAACTCAACACGTGTGCAATTATTTTTCCATTCGATTTTGCTAACACACCATATCAACCTTCAACTTTATACATTAGTTGACTCGCAAAACAACCATACAAACTCATGATTCAAGGTTAAACTAATGTTTCAAAATTATGATTCACCCACGATGCATCTCACGGACAAACCACTACAGTGTAATAATACACATGAGGAAACCTAATCGTATGCAAGTAGATAAGATTAAAAAGCATCAAAGACCATAATATAATATACATGCATGTTGAAAAATGATGTATTGGAAAAGTAAAGAGAAGCCGACCGCTTTCAACATCGAGTGTCAGGGGTTTGTCTTGTTTGCAAGACAAATTGGAGAATTTTAATAAAGGTGAGGATGACACACACATATAGATACATATATATACGATATAATGCATTTGGAGTTTTGATGCTTGTCTTCAGAATCTATCCACTTTTCAAGATGTAACTTCCTATTGTATTTTGGTCTTCCTTCCTTGGAGGTTTCCTGAGCCAGTGAAAGTATGATATGGGCTGCGTGTGAACCTCGACCTCATATCTTCTTCACACGCACGTCTTGAAGAAGAAGTCGCCATGACTTAATTGGTTCAGCAGAAAATTCTCTTGTAGAATTCTTGATTGCAATGCAGGATATTTTTTAATTTATATTTAGTACTTAACCGCGTGTGCCGTTTGAGATAACTAATTAACGCGTGGACCTCGACTAATTTTTAAGGGTCTTGGAGAACCGCCTTGAAAATCCCTAGTGAACCCATGATCTAAGAAGAATCATCAGATGCCCAAGTCTTGTTGTCAGTTGAGCTAACCCCACAAGATATAATTATTTTGTTTTTCTACGGTTTTTTTGTGGAAAAAAATGAGTACGTTCCTTGTTTATATATAGTAAATTGCAGTTCCATCCTTTTGACACATCTTGGTTTTTGGTTCTCGTCCCTCGGGTTTATTTATCATAAATTTTTGGATAAATAATGTATTTTGTTACGGAATTGGTACATGCCACACTAACAAGATGTATTTTAGTTGTTTTATTCTTCATACGACTCTTTAAGTTATGTTCATGAGTTTTGTTTTTACGAAAGAAAAAGGGGAAACGGGGAGGAAAATGGGGGGAAAGGAAAAATGTCATGTTCTCAAGTTTTTTTTATTAAAAAAAAAAGAAAAATAATGTTATTTTCCCTCCCAAACCTTCCAAATATGAGAGAAAAATGAAGGAAAGAAAATGAACAAAATGATTGTCATCATAAATATTTATAAAATTACACATTTATCCATCAACTACAAGCTGTTAGAAAATAAATAAGTGTATAATTGTAAAGACGACATCTTTCCTTTCCTTTTCTCTTCTAGTGATGGCCGAACCCGCTCGGCCCGGGACTGTCGGAGGACCGGAACCGGGATCGGCATGGGACTGGGACCGGTTATAGGCCCGATGGTTACAGCCCGGTTAAGGATTTTGGCGTTTTTTAGGACCGAGACCGACCTGGACCGATTATGGGACCGGTTATTTTAACACAGATAAAAAAATTTATTTTCTTTTTCTTTCTTTTCTTTTCCATCTCTTTATTTACTGTATTTTTTTCTTCTAAATTTGAGAAGACACTGTTATTTCAACTGCTCAGGACCACTACCACCCATCACCAAACTATAAAACCAGTGTATTAACCATAAGGGTGGTACCATGAGGTCTCAGGTTCAAATTCAATGAGAAATAAAACTCTCCTAGTGGCCACAGAGGTTCAAATACGATGACTCCGGGCTATCTGCAAAACAGATGGTCGTTATATGATTAATCGGCTCGCATAGCGGATTAGATATCCAAGTTAATAAAAAAAATCCAAGAAAGAGAAGAACAAGAAACAAACAGATACGTTCGCCATGTTTCTTTTCGGTTTACAGTTACATGGGAAGCTCAAGTAAGGCAATGGACAATACTTTAGCAACAATACAAGCTTAAAAGTAGTAAACTTCATGATACAAAACGACAAAAGTGAAATTGATGACAAATGATTTATTAGGGTTAGGGTCAAAGTGAAAGTGGAGACGAGATGAGATGAGTGAGAAGGAAGAAGAGAGAGAGAGGACAAGGTTTACAATTATAAATGAAGTCAGAGAGACGAAAACCACAAGAATCAATATACCAAAAGTGTAATTTACTTTTTATATATATATATATATATATATATATATATATATATATATGTGTGTGTGTGTAAGAAAAGTCATATTTTTTTTCGAAAACTAAACAATTTGACCGTAGATTAGTCTAGGGATGTTTAAAAAACGGACTAAACTTGGTCAATTGATCCAAAAAGAACTCAATTTGAAGTAGCCAACACATATAGTTGATATGAAATTGAGTCAAGATGCATTAGGTTAGAATTGGATTAACGTAATTTGAACTCAACCCAACCCGATGAATCCGTTACGGATTCAATATAAGATATTGATTAATATTTGTACATTAGACATTAAACTAACCCGTAAGTAGCTATATTTAAATTTATATTACAATTTCAACCATAATTTCAATTTCTTATTAGCATGAATTAAAAAAAAATTGAGTTTGCTAATTAGTCTTTTTTGTATGTTTTCATTTTGATTTACTTTGTTTAAACAAAAAGCTTATTTAGATTGTAAAATGATGTATCAAAGTTTTAACTCAATCAATCCAACACAACTCGCATGGTTTTGGTTGGGTTTGTAATTTTATTTGGGACGGATTAAGTTGAGATTTTTTATAAAATATAAACATTACGTTAGGTAGTTCAAACGTTTTCAACCCAGCTAACTCAATACGTACGTGTGCAACCCTAAATTAGTGTTAAGTTTATGACATAACGATTATATGATTGGGTGATATTGTAATTTGATAAATACAATAAATTCTTATCATTATCATCTATTGGAATAGTTATATATAGACCAGTAATTTATTTGTGAATACATTTTTAATTATTTGATCATCATAAAATTAACTAGTATAATAAAATTGGTTTTATAAGGAATTAAAAGAAATATATTAAAACGTTGTCCGAATACTCAAAAGGGTTCTACCAACTTAATATAACACATTATTTGTTTACCTCTTAATAGTTTCATTAAGAGGCAACCTCTGAATCATTAAAAGGTAAATCTTGTTTAGCAAAAATAAAGTCCGCCTCTTAATGGTTCTAAAACCGTCTGAATGATTTTGTATCATGGATCTCCTTTAACCATTAAAAGCCCTAATTTCATTGTACACAATATTACCAAACAATTATATTTCATTTTGCACTATATCATAAGAGCCTCTTAATCATTCTGATCACTTAATCATTTTGTACCAAACCATTGAGCAATTGTCAAACAATCCATAATATATAATTGTGATTCTATAAATACAAGTCTAATTATAAAACAATTTTATTATAGTTATAGATAGACAAATTAAGAAAGAAACGTGCTTCCAATTAAGACGAATGGAAATTCCTAGAGGCTGCTTACCTTATCTCATTTGAGTCGTCATACATGCTACTCCTATCACGGCCACACGCATTCACAGTTGCATGTTATATATATATGTACATGTGTGTATATGTATATACGTATACATTCACCATGCATCCATAGTGTTCGACTGTTCATTGCAGTCACAGTTTCATAACTTGAGAGAGTTAGCTTTGTCTTGTTAAATTCGAGTCTAGTTTCGCTTTGCCGATTAACACATAAGAGACGGAATCAAGATCGATCACAGAGAGAGAGATGGAAGGAGGGATGGTGACACCAGGGTTTAGGTTCTACCCAACAGAAGAAGAGTTGATAACGTTCTATTTGAAGCATACGATTGAAGGGACTCCAAGATTGCTACAAGCTATCAACCGAGTCATACCCCATCTTCATGTTTATGATTTCTATCCATGGGATCTCCCTCGTTAGTACTTTCACTTCATCACTTTTCTTTCTTTCTACCCTCCAAAACCCTAGCATGCACCATTCTTGATTAATTTCTTTCTTTCTTTAGATTCTAAAAACTGAAAACTCTACGAAACTATGTGTATATATGATGGGGTTTTAAGCATCCAATGACCCGATTCTTTAGAATCCACAAGGATTTTGACGTAGTGGTTAAGGTTACGAGGATAGGGTTGAATATCTTATTTGGCCAAGGTTCGATTCAGGACATATACAAGAATTGTGGCCACTGAATTTATCATGATTGATTTCTTGCAATCATAACCAGCTTGGGACACAGAAAGAAAACACAATTCTTTAGATCCATGATAACAAAAAAAGTTTAGTTGTTTCTTGTTCATTTTTTATTTGGTGTAAAGAACTTCAAAAGATTTCATAATCTTGTTGGTCAGTGTACATGAAACAAAGATTAGGGATGCCAATTATATGAAATTAAGACATAAATTAGACACCAACTTCTAGATAACGTGCGTAAAATATATATATATATATATACTAGAAGCGTACTCGCTCAATGCAGCGAAATTTATCGTGATTTTAATATTTCATTTTATTTTTTATCTCAGCTGATGTTATAATATGGCTTTATGTGATTTTGAGAAAGCGATAATGTTTTTATTTTTGAATAAAATATATGTTTGAAGATATCATAAAAATTTGACAAAAATATATCGATATTAGAATCAAATTAACTATTTGAAATTCCTCATTTTTTGTGTAATTTTTTAATTCAATTTTTTTATAATTTAATTTATGTACAATAACGAAGTAATTTATATTTGGTTTAATAATATAACTTTTTTATAAAGATAATAAGCATTTATTTGTTGGAACTCGATAATTATTCTAATTATATCTTAGATATTTTATATTTTAAAATGAGATGTTCATTCTCTATTTGATTATGTTTATCCGCAGTTATTTATACAAATTCAAACATCGAGCTTTAATAAGTTGTACTTATGCATAATTAHTTGTAATCTTGAATTTTAAGTAATATGCATCAATATACAGTACTTTATACATAACAAAAATATATCGATATTCGTATCAATTTAACTATTTAAAATT